AGACCAAAAAATAAAGAATTCTAAATGAAGGCACCTCAAACATTCACACTGCTGATCTGGTGAGGTGAAAGGTCAAACTGATGATTATATCCTTCTGAAAACAAAACACCTTGGCTTCTTTTACATCAAACCCACTTAACCCCCCCACCACCACCATATGCCAGAAGATGTAATGTTGCCATGACAACTACAGAAGTACTGAGGAGGCACGCGCACAGATACAAGCACGCCGGCGACAGATTTCAGTAGGCTGTAGGCCTACACAGAGGATGTCTCCACTGTAAGAATAAGAGAGGAGAATATAGAGAGCCAAATATAGGAACAGAATAACGAACTCCCTATCAACTGCTCTATCGTTTCCATATCTCCTCTGCCTTCCTCAACGCTCCAGCTCCCTGTCATTTATCCATCCTCTCCTTCAGCCTCGACAGGGCCAAATATTTCCCTAGGGCCACTCTTCTGTATACAAGAGATGCATTACACCAGAATTTTTCTTTTATGTCACGACTGTAATGGGGGGGGAAAAAAAAGTCTCTTTAAAAAGGTAGTGAAAACATATTGGAAGATTTCCCCATCTCAAGCATGGGATACCCAAACATTTCAAATAGCTACTAATCCTTTAACCACACAAAGGACCGACTGGATTATGGAAGGTGTGCACAAACATCCTCAAACCTCTCAACCCCCACAAGACTGCACGCAAGGATTATGTTTCCTGTCTTTATAAAATGAACTATTTTCTTAATCATAAAGCAACAATTTTGTCTAGAAACCAGGATAGGTTTTCAAGGTTGCATTCCTTCGCCAAAAAACAGAACAAAACCCCCAAATATTCCGTTTGCTTGCTCAAAAAACAAAGAAGCAAATCTTGAGACACGGGCACAAACTTGCAGTTAACTTCCTTTTGCCTAAAATGGGTTCAAAGTAAATGCTTGATTAATTAATTGCTCTGATGCGTCACAGATGCAGACAAATCAGCCAGAAAACCAAAAATGAACTGGCACTTACTGCATCCCGCCGCCACAAATTGCCGGCATCTGTCGGCCGAATACAACCACCTGTTGTATCGTGGAAAAGATGATGAGGAACAGCTGACAAACAGCTGGTTCACAACTGTCTGTATCGCTGAATGGCCGTCTGTCTCAATATCTCTGTACCTGCTTCACGCCTTGCATCTGCCCTCCATTTGTCCATTCTTGCTGCACATTTATTGGCTTCACAGAGTCCTCAGCAGTGGTATTTTTCCTTTTTCTCTTTTTACTTTGCTTTTCTTAACCTTTTTTGCTCTCTGTACCCTCTGAACACACAAACTTTGTTTTACCCAGAATAATGTCAGCAGTAAAACACAAAGTGCTGACAGGATGACATACTGTTTCTGTCCTGAGTGTTCTCCAAGAGCTGCAGTACACTCGTTATGAAATGGAGTCTAGTGTGTGCTTGAATGCTTTTATAAAAAAATAAATAAATATAAAAAGATGAGTGAAAATACCATGCTGATGTTTTTCCCTTGAGCAACAAGGTGAACAAAGAGGAAAAAAATAGAAACAACAGTGACTCTACAAACTTTAAAATAAAGACAACACAAGGCTCCGGATGAACCTGACAGCTAACAACACATGAAGGAAGAACCTATCAGGTACGGTTTTTATAGCAAGGACACTGGACAAGGAAACTGTACGTTCTTTTCCCTTAAACAAATCAGAAGATAGCAGGGAAAGAGATCGCAGGTCTATAAGAACAGATAAGAACTAAGACTGAGGATGTAACACTCTGCCAGCTGGTTATGAAAGCTACTTTCAGCTGCTCCCCTATTCACAAGGGCTCGCCACAGCGGGTAGCTTTATATGTTGGAGCTGGCTTTTTTTATGCTCTTTCTGATGCAATCCCAAAGGGTTCTGAGTCTCCTCCAAGCATTGAACTGGGGATCTTTTGGTTGTTAGGCAAATGTGTAAAATATGACTCATGCAGCCATCAACTGGTCCTGATCAACCAAAATGAAAATCTTTCTTTTATACTGTTTAAATTTGTGTAAGTGTGTGAAAAACATATTTCAAAAGCTAAATTGAGGTCCATTTATTCGTCATATTGGTTGTTTTAACCTAAATATATGAAAATAACAGGTCTATGTAAACGCTACACTTAAATACCATGAATTTTTTCAGGCAAAAATTACATATTTGAGGTTATTTAGAAACACTGTCGTAATTACACAGTTTGGCCGCCAGCGAGCAATGTACCATGTACAATGTTCAACCATTATCATTGTTTATGCACTGATTACATTTCGCGTGAAACGGATTGCTGTTAGTGATGGACCCCCGGGGAATTATCACCCAACTCTAAAGTTGTGGAGCATTTTAGTGTCTCTCGGCTCAGCAATGTGGTTTTCGGTAATGCAACATTAATGTTTCGATTCATTCAGACAGCTCTCAATTTAGTCACAGCAGGCACCTATTCTGAGGGAAATGGTTAAAAAACCCATTTTAGATCTTACAAATCACAGAAGTGCAAACAGACAAAACTCCAGTCGATACTTTTGGTCCATATCTGCTCTGTGTGAAGCTGAGCCACTGTTATCTTGTATCATAGTTTTGCAAAACATTAAAAAAAATCCCAATATATACATAATAAATGTTTCCCAGAGAATTAGATTCTACTCGTAGAGGAAGCTGGGTGCACATGTGAGGGTATAAAAAGGGTCTCTTTTCTTAAAGGCATGAATTCATATCCATGCACCCATCTCTTATCTTCTGCTTATCAAAGTTGGGTGGCAGTGGCAGTAGACTGAGCAGTTTATATGTTCCTCTCCCCGGCAACATTTTCCAATTCCGTGGGGGGATCCACAGGTATTCCCAGGCCAGGGGAGATATATAATCTCTTCAACAGATTCTAAAACCTCCAAAGGGACTGGTAGGCGCCTGGGACTAAGGAGACCAAATGTTTTAAAAGTAAAATGTTCTCTTTCTCTTCATTGATTCAGGATTTCATCTGCTTTGTATTTCAGGGTCTCCTTTGTTCTACTTTTTGTTTTATAGGCCAGGCCAAATGCTTTTATTGCCAAATGTGGGCAAACGGTTTAGACTGCAGGCATGCCGGTTTAGTGCTGGGACTGTTACTACAGAGCCTTTCTGTTGCAACACATGCAGACTGTGGTTAAACACTGTCTTGCCAAAAGAGTCCAGACCTTCCTTATAAGAGATATTCTCTGAATGTAAGTTAACCCGACACCTGTACATGGTACCCACACACATGTGAAAGAATTCACACCCATACTATCATATCTGATGCCTTTAATAGTGCACCGGTGTGTCATTGGTATCAAATTTAAAATGTTTTGTCTGGCTCAATATTCAATATTTTAAATAATAATAATAATGATACATAATAAATGTAAAGACATTTTCAATAAATACAGATTTTAAATGATTTACAAACCATTGCATTCCGTTTTTACAGAAACAGTTTCCCAACTTTCTTTTAGAAATGCTTTTATCAAATGTTCTTTGGGCCGTTTCAATAAAAAACAAAAACGTACATCTCTTCCATACCTTACAAATTTACTGACCTAAGTTAAGAACAGCACACAGGTACAAAAGAGCGATGATCACATGTTTTATATTTAAATAGTGCCATGCAGGTTTTTCTTCACCCTTACCCAAGAAAATACTCAATACTTGAATGCATTTGATACTAGAAGGCATTTATTGAGAAAATTATGAACAAACTGGTTTTCGGCAAATCTATTTAGCTAAAGAGGAACTAATGGAGAGGAACTAATCCTCTCCATGTGGTGTTTTGGTACCATATTGTCATTGCTGAGCATATAGCTGATAAAGTAGACTACTACCGTTTCTGTCTAGCAGGAAGGATTTCCTCTGGTTCAGTTGAGGACTTTAAGAGAAACGCAACACAAGTACCTGTGTTATCCTATTAAATTAACACTGTCCATTAACATTACAGAGATTATTAGCCATAGCCGCAATCCATTACCTTAATGTGAATAACTACTAGTAGTTAAGGTGGGTGCTGGCCAGGTTATCATTTATATTAACTGTTAAATACTTCACTGTGTTTGAAATAGGAGCTTTATTGACCTCTCAGAATTCTTCGTAAAAACCGGGGGTTCAGTCTTTAAAATGCTTTGGCACATTTAAAGTGCTGCTGTTCATGTGTTCAGCTGCTAGTGAGGGGAGGGGCTGTGTGCCTGTGTGCAGGAGTGCATCAGCAGGAGGCAGCAGAGACAGCCTCGCTGATATCGACACTGTTGCGTTTGATCTGAATGTAATTTTTTGTGTCAATTAGTATCCAGGTATCATTTTTTCTGACAACACTAATACCAAAATAGTATCTATGTTGATATTAAATGATACATTGTACCCAGCAAGGTTAAGTATTGGTTCTGGTGACAGCTTTAGAGACAATTCACCAGTTTCCCTTTTTTCTGAACCGTACTAATGGCTGAAACTGTTGAGAAGGGAGAAATGAGTGGCATGTATTTGACATGACATGTACTGTTTGACAAATGTAACCAATACTTTTCCCCTCTCTGGGTTCACATATGTCCACCAACTCAGGTTTAAAAATGGAAACCAGGGGAACAAACCTTCCTTCGAAATTTAAAAGCACCAAATTAAAACAGGAATCTCACAAACCACTAGAACACTTATAAAGGCTCTGCTAGGGACTGCGGACCACACTGAAAGATATTGTTTCCACAGTTGTTTTCTGCCTTCTACTGGGAGTGAAACAGATGCTGAAAGACATCACAAACCCGTCTAATGCAGTGACTGTCTGTAGTGGGATGATGATCGGTGATTGCAATTATGTGATAAAGTGATTACTAACTGCTAACCAACGCTCTCTCACTCACACACACACACGCATAGTGGGCTCCACTCCTCTCAGACTGGTGACACACCTCATCAAACTGTGGTCTGTTATAAGTGGTGCTGACACGTGTGTTTGTGTCTGTGCGTGTCTGCCTGTGTTCATAATCATACCCGCGTGTGCGTCACTGTCTGTACGGCGGCAGCGTGCCTTCACAGTATGCGCCGGCGGTGGTCCGGTTTCCGCTCAGAGGGCTGTGAAGTGGCCTGATGAAAGCTCGCACATGGTGGCGGTGAGAAGAGCCCCGATCTCCCGTCGTCACCACAGAGCTCAAAAGACTGGACGTCAAATCCTCCCGGTCTGTCGCAGATGTTTAACAGTGATGAGAAAGGAAAGAGAACTTTAGTAAGTTGTCAAGAAAATTTGCTCGGCTTTCATCCCAGATGTTGCCATAGGAAAGGGTCTAGATTTTTTTCCCCCAGTCTTCAGTCTCCTATTACCAACTCAGCTGCCTGACAGAGGACACATACACTTTTCAGGTCAACCAATCAGGTTTTGCCATGCCCCACACCAATCGCATTGTCAAATCCCTGCTGTCAGGTGTCATTTCAGTCCACCTCCATGAAACCTTCCACTGAGCTCATTCTGGAGCCGTACTCCGCATCCCATCTGCACAAATCAGCAAAACTCACTGTCCACTCTTTCACACCTCATCACGTGACTACCTAAGTGAGACTGTAATGTCACGATGGGGTATAACTACCACAGCATTCTTACATATCTTTTTAACTTTTCCTGCTGTGAACACTATTTCATATAAATGAATGCGATTATGCTGTAAGCTTCTTTTTCACTAAGTCTCGGCTGATTAAAATCTATTCACTTTGTTGTTCTTATTTCATTTTTATCCTCAGGATGGATTAGTGGTGGAAGGGAAGGTCTGCATTGCTAAAGCGCATTCTTTAATAAAAATCACTGGAGGTACCGAAAGCTTTAAAATGCCAAACTCTAATACTGTAAAAAGAAAAAACAAAACATAATTTAAAGCATGATGAACTATAAAAAGGTCATATAGAAGGCATTTATAATTACGCTAAATTTGGGAGGAGAGTCTAGCTTGCAAGAGCAAGATACATAACCATATTAAGTATACTAATGGGTCTTGGCTCTGATGTTATCATATACTGGAGAAGGGCTGACTGAATAGTTTAATGAAAAATAATCAGGATCGTATGCAGTTTTTTTTCATAGTCACAGATCTCAACCCGACTGAATGGGTGTAGGTAATTTAGAAGTGACATACACTTTATGAGAGAATATGTTTTGGATATCTCTCCTCAGCAGAGTCAAGAGAATCTGGAGCACCAAAGCTGAACTGGAGATCTGCTATCGCCTAATCTCAGTGCGTCTTTTAATCTGTCGACCATCTGGGAGGTTATGTAACACTTATAGAGTAGCTGAGGCTAGCGGGCTGATGTCACTGTAGACTAGATTTATGCCTAGTGAGCCCCTAGCAACATCTGGTCGCTAGGGAAAAATGTGTATTCCCTGACTGGTTGGTAAGTGGTTGCTGGAGATTCCTGGCTATTGCTGGGTGAATCAGACACTCACCAAATGCCATGGTGCCATGGTAAACTGGGAATAGAGAAGTGAAAGTCATGCATTACTTGTGAAACCAACACATTTCAAAAGGTGCAACTTTTATTTTGAAGGCAGTTGTTCTCCATTTCTAGTTTCACTACCGTTTGGCAAGTAGTTTGCAAGTATTAGTAGACAAGTCAGTACGGCTGGGCTATGCTGTCCTCGCCCTGAGTCTCCTGGTTTCACCAACTAGACAGCGAGATAACGATGCTCCAATAACCAGACTTATTTTCCTTTTTGCGCTGATTTATTGAAGAATGGCCTCTGACCATTGCCTTCTCTTTGACCATCGTAAAACTGAAAGTACAAAATACTGTATTAGCTAACTAACATTGTAGACTAGCTTGTTACATATGGGCTCAAAATGTGGTCATAAATATTTTGTACTTGTAAAAAAGATTTGTGTGTGCGCAAAAAAGATTTGTGTGTGCGCAAAAAAGATTTGTGTGTGCGTAAAAAAGATTTGTGTGTGCGCAAAAAAGAT